TTAACAGTGGGAATGTTTAGGATGCAATCCCCCCCCCTCTCCAGGTGCTGTCCCCGCCTTCCTGGGGACTCTCCAGTGTCCCTTGTCCCCCAAGGGGAGGGGTGACAGTGACACCCCCGGCCGTGGTGTCACCCCCATATCCCGCTTTTTTCCCAGGTGGGATTCCTGAAGATCCTGCACAAGTACGAGATCACCTTCGTGCTGCCCCCCGTGCCCAGCCTGGGCAAGGACATCTGTCCCCTCCCTGTCCCCAACCCCAACCTGCGCATCGTCAGTGTCACCTCCCTGCCCGAAGGTACCGTGTCCCCTCCTTGTCCCCACTGTCCCCACCCTGTACCCGGCCCTTTCCCAAAGGGGGCACACCCAGGAATCGTCCCCTCAGTGTCTCGGGGAGGAGGTGACAATTCCTTGTCCTCAGGGATGTCCCCACATTCCCTTATTTTGTTGTTGTTGGGATTTTCCTTTCCTGGGGTGGGGGCTCCAGACCCTGACAGGGGACAGGGACAGGGACAAGGATTGCTCCAAGAGGTGCCACCCTCCACTCTGGGGACAACTGGGATCCCAGAGCCTGGGGACAGCTGAGTGTCACCCTGGGCTGGGTGGCAGTTCCTTGGGGACACGGGCTCTGTTCCGAGGACACCACATGTCCCCAAGGCCACCTCGGTCCTATCCCAGATGTCCCACAGCCAATGGATGCTGTTTCCCACATCCCTGTCCCCTCGGTGTCACCTCCCTGCAAGTGGGGACAGGGTGGGGACAGGACAGGGACGGGGCTTTTCCCACCCACCGCTGGCTCCACCCCAAAAAAGCGCTTTAGGGTTTGTTTGGAGATTCCCAACAGGGATCGGGATTGGGATCAGGGCTGGGGGTGGACCAGGATGGGGATCCGGGATCGGGGCTGGGATTGGGATCGGGATCAGGATCAGGACCAGGACCGGGATCAGGGCTGGGATTGGGACTGGAATCAGGACTGGGATCAGAGCTGGGACTGGGGCTGGGATCAGGACTGGGATCAGGACCAGGATTGGCAGCAGGATTGGAGCCAGAAGCCAGGATGAGGACCGGGATTGGGACTGGGATCAAGGCCAGAATCAGGACCAGGATTGGAGGCAGGAGCCAGGATCAGACCAGGATCGAGGTGGGAATCAGGAGTGGGACCAGGACCAGGATTGGGAATGAGACCAGCATTGAGGCCAAGATTGGGACTGGGATTGGGACTGGAGCCGGGATTGGGATTGGAGCTGGGATCAGGATTGGAGCTGGGATCAGGATTGAAGCTGGGATCAGGATTGAAGCTGGGATCAGGATTGGAGCTGGGATCGGGATTGGAGCTGGGATCGGGATTGGAGCTGGGACTGGGGCCAGGGCCTCTCCAGAGCAGACGAAAGGAGCCCTGGGGAACTTGTGAGTGGCAGGGGGGACAGGCAGGACAGGGAGGGGACAGGGACAGGCAGGGAAGGTTCAGGAAGGGCAGGGAAAGTTCAGGAAGGTGCAGGCAGACACAGGTAGGACAGGAAGGGTTCAGGAAGGCCAGGGAAGTTTCAGGAAAGGGCAGGCAGGGTAAGGAGGGCACAGGCAGGGTAAGGAGGGCACAGGCAGGGTAAGGAGGGTACAGGCAGTACAGGAAGGGTTCAGGGAAGCTTCAGAAGGGTGCAGGCAGGGTGGGGAGGGCAGAGGCAGGCACAGACAAGGCTCAGGCAGGGTGAGGCAGGGTGAGGAGGGCTCAGGCAGAGTGAGGAAGGTGCAGGCAGGGCGAGGAGGGCACGGGCAGGGCAGGGAGGGCACAGACAGGGTGAGGAAGGCTCAGGTAGGGTGAGGAGGGTACAGGCAGAGTGGGAAGGGCACAGTCAGGCAGAGGCAGGGTGACAAGGACACAGACAGGGTGAGGAAGGCTCAGGTGGGGTGAGGAAGGCTCAGGTGGGGTGAGGAGAGCACAGGCAGGACAGGAGGGGTTCAGGGAAGCTTCAGGGGGGCACAGGCAGGGTGAGGAGGGCACAGGCTGGCACAGGCAGCCCCTCCATGTCCCCGTGGCAGGGCACAGCGTGCGCTGCGAGTACATGGCGCACAAGGAGGGCGTGCTGAAGGAGGAGCTGCTCCTGGCCGGACACAGCCCCAGCCACGTCAAGGTCACCGTCCAGGCCCGGGTCATGGGTAAGGGGCTCTGGGGGGGCTCTGGGGTCCCTCCCTGTCCCATTTTCCCCCCTCCACCAGGCCCAGCCACTCTTCCCAGTTGTCCCAGTTCAGGTGTGGCACTGTCGAGGAATTGCCCAAAATGGGTGATTTCATCCCAAAAACTCCCCAGCCCGGGGGTTGAGGGGAGCCCTGAGAAGGGGTGAAGGGAGGGGGTGGGGGGTGACCCCAATGTCCCCAGGGCCCCTGTCCCTGGGACCCCCACACTGTCCCTGGGATGTCCCCTGTCCCTGGGACCGTCCCTATAAACCCCAACACCCCCTTGCTCCTCATGTCCCCCACCCCATACCCCAGCCACCCCCAGCCCCCTGAGGCTGTCACCACCCTTGGGGGGCAGTGACCACAGCGGGTGACACAAGGGACAACACATCCCTCACCCACCCGGCCCCAACATTGGGAGCCTAAAACCCCCACAAACCCCTTCAAAAGAGATGTCCCCGAGCCGTGTCCCCTGCTGTCCCCAGACCGTCACCATGGGACACCGATGCTCCTGGACGGGGTGCGCTGCATGGGAGCCGAGCTGGAATACGACTCAGAGCAGAGCGAGTGGCACGGCTTCGACTGACCCCAAACCCCACCCCGGGGGACCCCAAAGTCCCCAAAGCACAGCACGGTCCCCAAAGCGGGCGGGGAGGGGGGACGGGACCCCGCTCGTCGCTGCTGCTGCCGCTGCTTTGCCCTCACCCCGCAGCCCCGGTGGGGGTTTGGGGGAATTGTGCCTCTTGGGGTGGGAATTTTTCCCTCTTTTCTGGGGTGGGGGAGGAATTTTGCCTGTGGAATGTGGGGCGGGAGCAGGGGATCCCCAGTGGCTTTGGGGTTGGGGCCGTGTCCCCCCTGCCGTCCATGTCCTTGTGTTGCTGCCAGCGCCTCTTTTATGGGTTTGTTTTTTTTTTTTTTTTCTGTTTTTCTCCTATTATTTTCCTGGTTTTTTTCTTTCTTTTCCCATTTTTTTTTTCCTCATGGTACAAGGACCAGGAGAAGTTTCAGGAGGTTTTATGTGCCTACAAATATATATATATATATATGTATATAAATATAAAGATATTTTACATGCCTGGGGGAGGGGTTAAAGTACAAAATCCCACCTTGGGAAGGAGGAAAATCCCACTGGGAATGGGCTGGGAGCCCAAATCCCCTCCATGACCCTGCCCAGAGGGGACAGGGGACACCCCCAGGTGGACAATCCCAAACAGTCCTGGATGGGGGATAAGGAGGGGTCATGAGGCCAATTCCAGTTAAAGGGGGCTGGGAGAGGGTGGGTGACAGGGATTGGGGTCCCCAGGATAATGGAGGGTCTCAGTCTGGGAGGGAATCGATGGTGCCACATCCTGGCATGGTCCCCACAGTGACAGGAGGTCTCAGCTGGAGTGGAAATCGGTGGTGGCATCTCCAGGAAGGTCTCAGTTGGATAAGATGTCCATGGTGGCATCTCCAGGAAGGTCTCAGTTGGACAGGAAGTCCATGGTGGCATCTCCAAGAAGGTCTCAGTTGGACAAGGTGTCCATGGTGGCATCTCCAGGAAGGTCTCAGTTGGACAAGGTGTCCATGGTGGCATCTCCAGGAAGGTCTCAGTTGGACAAGATGTCCATGGTGGCATCTCCAGGAAGGTCTCAGTTGGACAAGATGTCCATGGTGGCAGGTTCCAGAGGTCCCCATGATGTCAGCGGGGTCTCAGCTGGAGATGAAGTTGATGATGGCATCTCCCAAGGCCCCTCAGTTGGACAGGAAGTTGAGGGTAGGAGCTCCTGGGGTGTCCTCACAATGACAGGGACTCGCAGTTGGACAGGATTCAGTGGTGGCGGATCCCAGGATGGCCTCAGTTGAAGACGAAGTCAGTGGTGGCATCTCCCAGTGGTCCCCACAGTGGTGGTCCCAATGTCAGTTGGACAGGAAGTCAATGGTGGCATCCCCAGAGAGGTCTCATTTGGACAGGAAGTCAATGGTGGCAGATTCCAGGGGTGTCCCCACAACGCCAGGGCCCCTCAGTTGGACAGGAAGCTGATGGTGGCGGGTCCTGGGGGCGTCCTCATAATGACAGGGGGTCTCAGTTGGAGATGAATTCAGTGGTGGAGTCTCCAGAAAGGTCTCAGTTGGACAGGAAGTCAATGCTGGCATGTCCTGGGTAGTCCCAGTTGAACAAGAAGTCAATGGTGGCACATCCCAGGGTCCTCTCAGTTGGACAGGAAGTTGATGGTGGCACGTCACAGCGGCCCCTCAACTGGATGGGAAGTCAATGGTGGCACATCCTGGGTAGTCTCTGTTGCACAGGAAGACAATGGTGGCACATCCCAGGGTCCCCTCAATTGGACAGGAAGTCGATGGCGGCACATCCTGGGTAGTCCCAGTTGGACAGGAAATTGTTGGTGGCACATCCTGGGTAGTCCCAGTTGGACAGGAAGTCGATGGTGGCACATCCCAGGGCCCCTCAGTTGGACAGGAAGTCGATGGTGGCACATCCCAGGGTCCCCTCAGTTGGACAGGAAGTCGATGGTGGCACATCCCAGGGTTCCCTCAGTTGGACAGGAAGTCGATGGTGGCACATCCCAGGGTCCCCACAATTGGACACAAAGTCAATGGTGGCGCATCCCAGGGTCCCTCAGTTGGACAGGAAGTCGATGGTGGAACATCCCAGGGTCCCCTCAGTTGGACAGGAAGTCGATGGTGGCACATCCCAGGGTCCCCTCAGTTGGACAGGAAGTCGATGGTGGCACATCCCAGGGTCCCCTCAGTTGGACAGGAAGTCGATGGTGGCACATCCCAGGGTCCCCTCAGTTGGACAGGAAGTCGATGGTGGCACATCCCAGGGCCCCTCAGTTGGACAGGAAGTCGATGGTGGCCCTCACGCTGCGCGCCGTGCGCGTGTCCAGCGCCGTCACCTTGATCTCGGTGTCCCCGAACTGCATGCTGGTGCGGATCTCGCGCCGGCCCCCGCGCCGCGCCCGCGTCCCCCGCGTCCCCCAGCTCCAGGCTGATGGTGCCGCACTTCCTGACGCCGGGGTCGGTGATGTACACCACGTCATCACTGTCGCAGCAGTAGATGTTGATGATGGTCCGGCGCTGGCCGGGCCGGGCCGGGCAGTAACTGCGCTGGACCACCTCTCCCAGCGCCACCGACTGGTCCACGGTGACAAACTTCTCAAAGATGTCGGTTGCACCAGTTCTTGCCCTCCTTGACCAGCAGCTTCTCCCGTGGGTGTTTGCCCTCCACGAACTTGTTGAGGACACCCACACCGTAGGTGAGCGGGGAGCGGCGCACCCTCACCACGCTGGGGTCCAGGCCAAAGAGCACGGCCCCCTTGAGGATGGTCAGCCCCACGTCCTGCGGGACGATGACCCGGCAGCAGTGGCCGAAGGCGGCCTGCACCGCCCGCTGCAGCATGGCCGACTCGGCGAAGCCGCCCACCAGGAACAGGAATTTGATGCCGTGGACCTCGGGTTTCTTCAGGAGGGCGTCTGGAGCAGGGGATAAAAGGGGAGGTTTGGGGTTGGGATGGTGGGGAAGGGGTGGGGGTGACTGGGGGGGGACAGGGATGAGGGAAGTCCAGGAATGGGGGAAGTTCCAGGGATGGAATGGGACTGAGGGACAGGGAGGGTTCCAGGGACAATGGGGGTTCCAGGGACAGGAAGAGTTTTGGGGATAAAAGGTTTCCAGGGACAACGGGGGTTCCAGGGATAAAAGATTTCCAGGGACAGTGGGGGATTCCAGTGACAAGGAGGGCTCCAGGAATGGGGGGATCCCAGGGACAAAGTCGGTTCCAGGGATGGAGTGGGTCCCAGGGACGGGGGTGGTCCCAGGGACAAGGAGAGTTCCAGGGACAGGGAAAGGTTTCCAGGGAAAATGGGGGTTCCAAGGATAAAAGGTTTCCAGGGACAGTGGGGGATTCCAGTGACCCAGAGGTGGGTTCCAGGAATGGGGGATCCCAGGGACAAGGTGGGTTCCAGGGATGGGGTGGGTTCCAGGGACAGGGGTGGTCCCAGGGATAGGGAAGGTGCCAGGGATGAAGGGGGGGGGGTCCCAGGGACAGGAGCAGGGTCCCAGGGACAAAGGGGATCCCAGGGTGTAGGATTGTCCCAGGGATGGGGGGGATGTCTCAGGCATGGGATGGGTCCCAAGGATGGGGGACTCATAGGGACAGGGATGGTCCCAGGGACAGGAATGATTCCAGGGATGAAGGGGCTCCCAGGAATGGGATGGGAATGATCCCAGGAATGGGGGGTTCCCAGTAACAGGGCTGGGATGGGGAGTGACCCCAGGGACAGGGGGTGGCACAGGGACAGGGGTTCCCCAGGGATGGGCGTGTCCCCGGGCCCCACCGATGTGCTGGATGATGTGGGTGATGGTTGGCTGGAACAGCTCGTTCATGGCCTCGGGGGACATCCGCAGCATCCCTTGGGACGACCACTTCACCAGGTTGACGCTGGGGACACACAGGGGACCCGGGGGTGACCAGGAACTCCCGCCTGGTCCTTCCCTGTCTTCTTCCCTCCCACCCTATCCCGCCTTTCCCCCCTCTCTTGCCCTCACCCTCCCCAGCGTCACTCCCACCGTGTCCCCAGGCTCCCGAGGTGTCCCCAACCCGCGCCACCCCTCACTTGCTCTTGCGGAGCGCGGTCTCCACGTTGTGGCCGCGGTGTTTGCGGTAGAAGTCGATGAAGGAGAAGGGCAGGGAGATGTTGAGGGGGCTGGAGCGGCTCGGGGCGGCCGCGCGCTTCCGCGCCTCGAAGGCGATGGTCAGGTCCACCCAGGCCGCCGGACGCTTGGCCTTGAAGGTGGCGATGAAATCGTCCCCGAAGATGTGGCACAGAAGCTTCTCGAAGGCCAGGTCCACGCCCACGGCCCCATAGGGACCTCCTGAGGGACAGGGGTGGGGTCAGGAGGTGGCCCCGTGGTTGCTGTGTCCCCATGGCAGCCATGTCCCCCATCACTGCATTCTCCCACATCTCCATGTCCCTATGTCCCCTACATTCCCATGTCCCCGTGTCCCCATCACCATGTCCCTGTGGCACCCATGTCTGCCGTCCCCATGTCCCTGTGGTACCCACATCCCCATGTCCCCCATCCCCATGTCCCTGTGTCTCCTATATCCCCCATCACCGTGTCCCCCATATCTTCCATGTCCCCATGTGCTCCATATCCCACATGTCCCCATGTCCCCCCCAACACCATATCCCCACATCCCCCACATTCCCATGTCCCCATGTCCTTCATCCCCACGTCCTTGTCTCCCCCATGTCCCTGTGTCCCCCATCCCCATGTCCCCATGTCTCCTATATCCCCCATCCTGATGTCCTCATGTCCCCCATCACCACAGCCCCCATATCCCCCATGTCCCAATGTCCTCCATATCCCCCATGTCCCCCCCAACACGATATCCCTGCATCTCCCATGTCCCCATGTCCTTCATCCCCATGTCCTTGTCTCCCCCATGTCCCTGTGGTCCCCATGTCCACCATCCCCTGTACCTGTGGCACCCACATCCCCATGTCCCCCATCCCTATGTCCCCGTGTCATCCTGATGTCCTCATGTCCCCCATCACCATGTCCCCCATATCCTCCATGTCCCCATGTCCTCCATATCCCCATGTCCCCATGTCCTTCATCCCTACATCCTTGTCTCCGCCACGTCCCCCATGTCCCCCATCCCCATGTCCCCGTGTCACTGACATCTCCATGTCCCACTTCCCCATATCCCGAGGTCCCCCCACATCCCCATGGCACCCCTACCACCATGTCTCCACCAGCCCCATCCCGATATCCTTGTGGCATCCATGTCCCCATGTCCCCCACATACCCCTGTCCCCTCTACCCCAGCCCCTTGTCCCTCTGTCCCCCCTCACCCATCCCATCCTCCCTATCCTCCCTTCCCCACCTTGTCCCCCTAACCCATCCCTATCCCTCCTTGTCCCCCCAGTCCGTGTCCCCTTCCCTCTGTCCCCAACCCGGGTCCCCCTGCACTTCTCCCTGTCGCCACCAGGTGGCGCCACAGCCCCACCCACGACCCTTTCCTGGGGTTTGGGATCCCAGCCTGGGTTTGGGGTCCCAGCCCGGATTTGGGGTCACAGCCCGAGTTTGGGATCCCAGCCTGGGTTTGGGGTCCCAGCCCGAGTTTGGGGTCCCAACCCAGGTTTGGGGTCAGAACCGGGGTTTGGGGTCCCGGGAGGATCCCGGAACGGGGTTAAAAATTCTGAATAAGGATCCTCATCCCACCCGAGGCTTTGTAGAGCTCCTTCAGCGTCCCCTGCGGCTTCTCGATCTGGTGCACGGTCAGATCCACCGTCCCCCCGCCACAATCGGCCACGATGTACCTGTCACCTGCGGGGGGGGGGGCGACAGCGACAGGGTGGCCGTCCTGAGTGACCCCCGCCACACCCACCCGCGGGGACACAGGGCTGCGTTTTACCGGGGAAAAGGAAACTTTGATCAAAATTATGGGAATCGGGGCGGGCGGAGAGACGGAAGGGATGGGATGGTGGCAGGGAGACCCCGCCCCTTCTGTGCGCTCAAGGGACAGACCCCAACCGTGTCACCCCCATGGCAGGAGCGCCCTTGGGTGCTTGAGGGTGGCTCTGTCACGGAGGGGACATCGGGGGGACCCTGGGATCTGGGAATCTCCCCACCCGTGTCCCCCCCTCGTACCTGCCTGCATCTCCGACCAGAGCTCGCCCACTCCCGACTCCACCAGGAAGGTGCGGCTGTGCCGGGATCGCCGGAGCTGTTCCCGGGCTGGGGGACAGAGCCGGGGGTCGGCAGTGGGGTCAGGATCCCCCCCACTTCCATGGGACCCCCCCCATATCCAGGGGATCCCCCCCATATCCATGGGATCCCCCCCACTTCAATGGGATCACCCCCATATCCATGGGGTCCACCCCACATCCATGGAATCCCCCCCATATCAATGGGATCCACGCCATTTCCATGGAATCCACCCCATATCCATGGGATCCATGCCATTTCAATGGGATCCACCCCATAATCCATGGGATCCCCCCCATATCCATGGGATCCCCCCCATATCCATGGGATCCACCCCGTTTCCATGGGATCCCCCCCCATATCCATGGGATCCCCCCCCATTTCCATGGGATCCACCCCATTCCTGCTGTGGGGTCATACTGGGAGCACTGGTGGCCTCTCCAATCCAGCCAGGACCCCAGTGTGCCCCAGCTCCACCACGGATGGGCTGATCCAGCTTTCCCTGCTGCCATCCCAAAGGATCCCAGCGGATCCCGTGGGATCACCCCATGACCACCCTGGGCGATGCCACCTCCGGCCCCGACCCCACAGCCCCGGGTGGGGTTTCCTGTGCTCCCCCCCCATCGCAGGGACATCAAAGGCACCCGGAAGGGCCGGGATGAGTTGGGAAAGGTGGGGTTGTCCTGGGATATTTTTGGCACGGGGATAATTCCTCGTCCTTGGGATCAACTCCCCATCCCATAAATCCCCCATGGGAGCCCAAATCTCCATCTGGGATCACCACCAGCACATCCCAGTTCCGAGGCTTGGTCCCAGCTGGGCAAACTGGGGCTGTCCCAGCAAAGCCCAGGATCCCATCCATGGGGGGACAGTCCCTGAAAGTGGCCCAGGGACACGGGGTGGTGGCCAAGGGGGCTGGAGGGGGACACGGCTTGGAGGCTTATGGGAAAGCAGGAAAAAATGCCCTGGATTTGGGGAGGGGGGAATGGGGGTCTCTGGGAATGGGGAAGTCTGGGAATGGGGGGGTCTGGGAATGGGGTTTCTGGGAATGAGGTCTCTGGAGATGGGAGGTCTCTGGGAATGGGGTTTCTAGGGACAGGGGGTCTCTGGGAATGGGGGGGGTCTGGGAATGGGGTCTCTGGGGACAGGGGGTCTCTGGGAATGGGGTTTCTAGGGACAGAGGGTCTCTGGGGATGGGGTCTCTGGTGATGGGAGGTCTCTAGGAATGAGGGGGTCTGGGAATGAGGGGTCTGTGGGAATGGGGGTCTGAGGATGGGAAATCTCTGGGAATGGAAGGGTCTGTGGGAACGGGGCTCTCTGGGAATGGGATTTCTGGCAATGGGGGGGATCTCTGGGGACAGAGGGTCTCTGGCAATGGGGGGGGGGGGTCTCTGGGGATGGGGACTCTCTGGGAATAGGGTTTCCAGGGACTTCCCCAACCATGGCAGCTGATGGACCCTCCAGACCTGGCACGCAGGGCTGGATCCCAATCCCTGCTCCTCCAGCCCCGACCCTATCCCAACCCCATTCCCTGGCCCTATCCTGACCCCATTCCCTGCTCCTCCAGCCCCCTGCCCTATCCCATGATACCATTCCCTGCTCCTCCAGCCCTATCCTGACCCCATTCCCTGCTTCTCCAGCCCCGGCCCTATCCCAACCCCATTCCCTGCTTCTCCAGCCCCTGCCCTATCCTGACCCCATTCTCTGCTTCTCCAGCCCCAGCCCTATCCCAATCCCATTCCCTGCTCCTCCAGCCCCTGCCCTATCCTGACCCCATTCCCTGCTCCTCCAGCCCTATCCCAATCCCATTCCCTGCTCCTCCAGCCCCTGGCCCTATCCCGACCCCATTCCCTGCTCCTCCAGCCCTATCCCAATCCCATTCCCTGCTCCTCCAGCCCCTGGCCCTATCCCGACCCCATTCCCTGCTCCTCCAGCCCTATCCTGACCCCATTCCCTGCTCCTCCAGCCCCTGCCCTATCCCAACCCCACTCCCTGTGCCGCTCACCCTGCCGGAAGCTGGAGTCGATGGGGTGCGGGGTCTCGGCGCCGTTGGCCGGGGGGCGGCAGCTCAGCTCGATCAGTTGGTGCAGCCGCAGCTTCCGGCAGTAAATGGAGGCGGCCTCGGGCTCCAGCGCGATCAGCAGCTGCTCCGGCGTCTCCGGGGACACCAGCCCGGCCTGTGGGGACACGTGGTGACAGGGAGGGGACGGGGAGGGTTCCCGGGTGTGTCCCCATCCCCTTGGTGCTCACACGGGTCTGGAATTGTGGGATGTGGGAGGACCCAATACTCGCCAATATCTGAATATTCACCCAAAAACTCAACGGACCAATCAACCGCCCAGCCTGCGACCCAACAACTCAGCCATCGATCCGAGCATGGAGTTGACCACCCGACCACTCAACCTGCCATAAATCCACCCAACTTTCCAACTAACAACCCAACCAACAACCCAACCAACCACACAACCAACCGACAACCTCACCACCAAACCAACCATCCAACCAACCCCACAACCACCCAATAAACCAATGACCTCACCACCCAACTAACCATCTAACCAAGCACAAAACCAACGACCTCACCAGCAAACCAGTCACCAAACCAACCACCTGGCACCAAACCAACCATCCAACAAACCAAGGACCTCACCACCAAACCAGCCATGCAACCAACCACACAACCAACCAACGACCTCACCACCCAACTAACCATCCAACCAACCAGCCAACCAATGACTTGACCACCAAACCAACCACCCAACCAATGACTTGACCACCAAACCAACCATCCAACCAACCACACAACCAAAGAACTGATCACCAAACCAACCACACAGCCAACCACCGACCACTGACCTGACCACCTGACCATTGACCCACACCCAACCAATAACCTGACCACCCAACCAACCACCTGCTCCATCATCCAACCGCTCAACCAGTGACCCAGTCAACCAGTGAACCAACCAATGTCCTGAACACCAAACCAAGCACTCAACAACCAACCAATAGCTCAACCAATGGCCCAGCCACCAAACCAATCACCCAACCAATGGCCAAACTGCTCAAGCAGCCACTCAACCAACCTCCCAACCAATGACCCACCCATTCAACCAATCAACCAACTGCTCAACCAACACATCGACCAACCACTCAATCAGACAACTGCTCAACCGATGACCCAAGCATCAAACCAACCACCCAACCACTGAACAATTCAACCAGCCATCCAACCATCCACTTAACCACCTACCTGGCAAATTATCCACCCACTCACACAACAACTTCCAACTTCCAACCCAAACCAACAACTTTTGGCTGGTTTGGATTGGAAGGACCTTAAATCCCATCCCATTTCACCCCCGGTCATGGGCAGGGACACCTCCCACTATCCCAGGTGGATCCAAATCTATCCAGCCTGGCCTTGGACGCTTCCAGGGACCCAGGGGCAGCCACAGCAAATCTGGGAATTGCATCCCAGCCCCTCCCCACCCTCCTAGCCAGGAATTCCCTCTCAATATCCCACCTAACGCTATCCTCTGACAGTGGGAATTCAGAGGGAAGAAGGGGATACCCTGGAGACCCCAACCCCTGTGAGGGTCACCGCATGGTCACCCTCCGGAGTCCCCCCACCTTGTAGGCCGCTTCCCGCATGAACTGCTTGGCCGGCTGCTTCCAGATGGCCGGCACGGTGAGCACCCAGCGGATGGCGTCGCTCTCAGGCAGGGACGGGCACTGGTCCTTCAGCTCCTGCCAGGGGACAAGCAGGAGGTGACACCTGGGGGCTCCCGGTGACTCATGGAATGGTTTGGGTGGGGAGGGACCTTAAACCCCACCCAGGGACACCTCCCACTATCCCAGGTCGCTCCAAGCCCTGATGTCCAACCTTGGACACTTCCAGGGAGAGGGCAGCCACAGCCAATCTGGGAATTCCATTCCAGGGCCTCCCCACCCTCTCATGGAAAGCTCAGAGAGGACAGAGAGGATTCCCTTTGGGAAGGAGGAGGAGGGATGGAGGTGGCCCCACCTGCACCGCGTGCTGCTTGAAGAAGCGCAGCGCGTGGGCGAACACCTCCAGCGCCGGCATCTTCTTCCCGTTGACAGCTTCCAGCTCGGTTTTCATGGTCAGATCCTGCCAGGAACAGCAAATGGATCACACCAGGGGCTGGGAGGTGGATCCATCACCAAACCTTGGGAATTTGTTCATCCTTCGTTGCCCCAGCTGGAGCTCAGGCACCTGAAGCTTCCTGCAGCCACATCCACCTACCCTGGAGCAGCTCGGATGGGAGAACCTCAAAGACACCCCCCTAAAATGGGCTAAAATGGGGTTTTTTCCCAACATTTCAACTCCCAGCCCAGCCCTGGGAAGGAGGATCACCCTGGGAACACTGGGAACATCAGGATGGGAGCAGGGACTCACGCTGGTGCTGTGGATCTTCATCTTAAACTTCTCGAAGTAGAACCACTCGCGGGCCTCCTCGGGGTCCAGGTCGTGGTAGTAATCGCGGGCGGTGTAGCCGAAGCTGTGGAATGTCCCCTCCGGCGTCAGCAGGAGGCTGGTGGGGGTCTTCTGGTTGGCCACGCCCGGGTCCCCCCCTTCCCATTTCCTGCAAAGAGGAGCCGGAGCAGGTGAACTTCCAGGGAATGGGTCCTGCCAGGTTTAATTTGTTTCTGTGGGCGTGGTCTGAAGGACCTTAAAGGAGGAGGGGTGGTCCTGCTCCATCCTCCAAGGAATTTCATGGAATTCCAGACTGGTTTGGGTTGGGAGGGACCTTGAAGACCACTGAGTGCCACCTACTTCCACGGCAGGGACACCTCCCACCATCCCAGGTGGATCCAAGCCCCAGTGTCCAACCTGGCCTTGGGCACTTCCAGGGATCCAGGGGCAGCCACAGCAAATCTGGGAATTCCAGCCCAGGCAGGAATTCCTTGCCAAGATCCCAGCCCAATCTCCCCTTTCCCAGTGGGAGCCATTCCCTGGCTCCTGTCCCTGCAGGCCTTGTCCCCAGTCCCTCTCCAGCTCTCCTGGAGCCCCTCCAGGGACTCTGAGAATTCCCTGGAATTTTCCCTTCTCCAGGGGAACATTCCCAGCTCTCCCAGCCTGGCTCCAGAGCAGAGGGGCTCCATCCCTTGGAGTATCCTCACCCCACACCTTCCGCCCGCTGCTGCCAGGAACCATCTCCCACCCACCCAACCTCTGACCATTCTGGGGCCATCAAAGTCCTTTCCCAGCTCCAGGGCCCCTGGCGGGTGCTCACCTCATCATGTGGATGGCCTCGGGGTCGCTGGTGAAGCTGAAGGCGTAACCGCTGGAGGTGGTGCCGAAGTCGATGGCCACCACCACGGAGAAGGACGGCGCCTGCTGGGAACGCGCCTCGCTCCGCTGGAAGGCAAGGAACGGGATCGAGCGCTCAGCTGGGACTGGGGGATTCCAGAAAAGCCATAAAGACACCAGGAACAGCTTCCTTGGCCCAGGATTTTCAGGATTTTTCCTGGATTTTCAGGATTTTTCCTGGATTTTCACCAGTTTGGTTATTTCCTGATGGGTTCTTCTTCTTCTTCTTATACATGTTCACTCATTGGGAAAAGCGTCTCCCACATTCCACGGGAGGCAAGGAAGGCAAGGAATGGGATCAAGCACTCAATTGTGACTGGGAGATTCCAGAAAAGTGGTAAAGACCCCAGGAACTCATTCAATTTCCCAGGATTTTCAGGATTTTTCCTGGATTTTCACCCAGATTGGTGATTCCCTGATGGATGGTTCTTCTTCTTTTACATCTTTACTCATTGGGAAAAGCGTCTCCCATATTCCACGGGAGGCAAGGAAGGCAAGGAATGAGATCAAGCACTCAGTTGGGACTGGGGGATTCCAGAAAAGTGGCAAAGACCCCAGGAACTCATTCAATTTCCCAGGATTTTTCCTGGGATTTTCAGGATTTTTCCTGGGTTTTCACCCAGATTGGTGATTCCCTGATGGATGATTCTTCTTCTTATACATCTTCCCTCGTTGGGAAAAGCGTCTCCCATATTTCATGGGGTGCCTGTGGTCGTTCCCAAAGGCAGTTCCCATGGGACACAGGGATTTGGGCAGCGCTGGAGAGGGATGGATGCCCATGGGAGCAGCCAGGGTGGTTGGGGGCTCCTGTTTTTATTGTGCTGAGCCTCCCTCACTTGGACCCTGAAATTGGAGCCAAGATTCCCAAAAACCTTCCCTGTGTCTGGTCTCACTCCAAGGAACCTTGTCCCAGGTGTCCCCATGGGTCACTAGACCCAAATTGCTCCCTATATCCAGTGTCACGCCAAGGGACATTGTCCCAGGTGTCCCCAAGTGTCACTGAACCCAAACCCTTCCCTGCTCCCCATCTTGGACTGGGTGACATCATCCTAGATGTCCCCATGTGTCACCTAACAAAAATCCTTTCCTGTGACCAATCTCACGCCAAGGGACATTGTCCCAGGTGTCCCCAAGGATCATTCAGTCAGAACCCTTCCCTGTGACCAATGTCATGCCAAGGGACATGTGTCCCCAAGGGTCACCCAGCTGAAAACCTTCCCCGTGCCCAATCTCACCTTGTCCCAGGTGTCCCCAAGGGTCACTGAACCCAAAACATTCCCTGCTTCCCATCCTAGACGAGGTGACATCATCCCAGGTGTCCCCAAGTGTCACCTAACCAAAACCCTTCCCTGTGACCAATCTCATGCCAAGGGACATTGTCCCAGGTGTCCCCAAGAATCATTCAGTCAAAACCCTTCCCTGTGACCAATCTCATGCCAAGGGACATTGTCCTAGGCGTCCCCAAGGGTCACCCAACCAAAATCCTTTCCTGTGACCAATCTCACGCCAAGGGACATTGTCCCAGGTGTCCCCAAGGATCATTCAGTCAGAACCCTTCCCTGTGACCAATGTGACACCAAAGGACATCGTCACAGCTGTCCCCAAGGGTCACTGAGCTCCAACCCTTCCCTGCTCCCCATCTTGGACTAGGTGACATCATCCCAGGTGTACCCAAGGGTCACCCAACCAAAACCCTTCCCTGTGACCAATCTCACGCCAAAGGACATTGTCCCAGGTGTCCCAAGGGTCACTGAACTCCAACCTTTCCCTGCACCCCATCTTGGACTAGGTGACATCATCCTAGGTGTCCCCAGGGGTCAGCCAGTTGAAAACCTTCCCTGTGCCCAACCTCACCTTGTCCCAGGTGTCCCCAAGAGTCACCCAGCTGAAAATCCCCCTGGCCCAGGCAATTGGGATGTTCCCACTGCTGCTCCCTCACTTTTCCTGTCCCCACTCCGTGTCCCCTCCTTCCAGGGCTGTCCCTGTGCTGAAGAAGCCATACGGATGTGACAAGGCCCTGTCCCCATGTCACCACGGGAAGCTGAAAGCCTCGTTAACTCGAAATGTCCCTAGATTTGATAAGTGAGGACACGAGCTGGCTGAGAAAAATGCTGGGATCAGCAGGGAAGAGGCAGCCGGTGCAGGAATGTGCAGGGACAAGGAAGTCCAGGGAAGAACTGGCTCTGGAACGTGGCCTCCCACACCCGGCGGCCCCGGAGGAGGGCAGGAGTTTTGTGGGGTTAAATTTTTCCTGGTGGGTCATTCCAGAGCTGGAAAACCCCTCCATGCTGAAAATTCCATGGATAGAGGTCCTGGGGATAGACTGACCCATCCTGTGGGACTGGGGGGGATGGAGGCTGGACTGGGAGGGGAGGGGGAGCAGGAACTGGGGAAGGACCAGAGGGGGAAAGGACAGGGGGACAGACCCCAATGGGCTTACGGCGACCCCAAAACTGCCTTACTGGGACCCCAAAACTGCCTTACTGGGAACCCCATAATGGTCTTACTGGGACCCCAAAACTGCCTTACTGGGAACACCATAATGGTTTTATTGGGAACCCCACTGTGGCCTTACTGGAGACCCCACAATGGCCTTACTGGAGACCCCCAATGACCCTACTGGGGACCCCACAATGGCCATACTGCAACTTCATACCGACCTTACTGGGAACCCTATAATGGCCTTACTGGGGCCCCAAATCTGCCTTACTGGGAGCCCCACAATGGCCTTACTGGGACCCCAAAACTGCCTTACTGGGAACAACACACTGGTCATAATGGGAACCCCATAATGGCCTTACTGGGACCCCAAAACTGCCTTACTGGGACCCTGCAATGACCTTACTGGGAACCCCATAATGGCCTTACTGGGACCCCAAATCTGCCTTACTGGGAACCCCATAATGGCCTTACTGGGACCACACACTGGCCTTACTGGGGACCCCATAATGTCCTTACTGGGACCCCAAATCTGCCTTACTGGGGACCCCATAATGTCCTTACTGGGACCCCAAATCTGCCTTACTGGGACCCTGCAATGGCCATACTGGGAACCCCAAAATGGCCTTACTGGGACCACACAATGGCCATACTGGGAACCCCATAATGGCCTTACAGGGACCCCAAAACTGCCTTACTGGGACCCTGCAATGACCTTACTGGGAACCCCATAATGGCCATACTGGGACCCCGCATCAGCCTTACTGGGAGCCCACGCTGGCCGTACTGGTGCCGCACTCACCGGTGACTGGGAGGGCGTCAGCGGGGCGATGCTGCAGCTGTCGTGGGGTGTCCCCGGGGAGCCGGGCGGGGACGGCGTCGGGCACCGCTCACCGTTGGCACCTGGGGACACGGACGGGAGAGTCTGGGGGACCCCAAAGACCCTTCCCCAAGGACAGACCACCTGGGACATCCCCATGGAGATGGATCCAGGTGGGAAGGGATCCCAGCCCTTCCCAAGGAGAGACCACTCAGGACATCCCAATGGAGATGGATACGGGTGATAAGGGATTCCAACCCTTCCCAAAGACCATTCCTCAAGGACACCTGGGACATCCTGATGGAGACAGATATGAGTGGGAAGGGATCCCAGGCCTTCCCAAATCCTTCCCTCAAGGAGAGACCACCCAGGACATCCCAGTAGAGACAGATCCAGGTGGGAAGAGATCCCAGCCCTTCCCAAGGAGAGACCACCCAGGACATCTGATGAAGACAGATCCAGGTGGGAAGGGATCCCAACCCTTCCCAAAGACCCTTCCCTAGGGAGAGACCACCCAGGAAGGACATCCCGATGGAGACAGATCCGGGTGGGAAGGGATCCCAGCCCTTCCCAAAGACCATTCCCCAAGGAGAGACCACCCAGGACATCCCGATGGAGATGGATCCACTTGGGAAGGGATCCCAGGCCTTCCCAAATCCTTCCCTCAAGGAGAAACCACCCAAGACATCCTGATGGGGACGACCTGGGGTGGATGTGGGGGTGCAGGGAACAGAGTCACTGTGGGGTCTCCAGATGTGGAGTTCATAAAATCATGGAATTGTGGGATGGTTGAAATTGGGAAGGTCCATAAATCCCATCCAGTGCCACCCCATCCACGGGCAGGGACACCTTCCATTATCCCAGGCGGATCCAACACAGGCTTGGACAATTCCAGGGATGTGTGCAAGGGGAAGCTGCTCCAGGCCAGCAGCTGGAAGGTTTGGATTCAGTAGGAATGGGGGAAAACTTGGAAAGAAAGAAAGGAACTGTCCGTGTTTCAAATCCATGGAGAACCAGCGAGGGAGGGCGGGTCCAGCTCAGACCCTCGGCCACGCTCCAGAACATCCCGGTTTCCTGGACACCCTGGAAGCTCCGTGGGCCCGTGCTAATCCCAAAATCTGGGGGTGGGGATCATGGGTAAAGCAAATTTTCCCTCCTCCTCTTCCTCCTCCTGAAGCCACCACCCGTCCCTCTCCCTTCCAGCAGCAGAATTCCAGCCCCGGGGACCCCCGATGATCCCAAAACCGGGAAGGGCTGAGCCCCAGAGTCCCCCCCCCACACCGGGGACACGGGGCTGTCCCGCCCGCGCTGCCCCGGGCACCTGGCTCCAATTAGCAGCCGGCATTAATTAATCACCGCCCACGACAGAGCCGCTGGGGCGGCCCCAGCTGGAAAGGGCTGGGGGAGCTGACGGAGCGGCTTTCCCAAGAGATTGGGATGGGGTAAAGTGCGGGGAATGGGGTGTGGGGTCCGGGCGGTGACACCGGTGAGGTGAAGGGACTGCTGGCCCTAAAACCTGCGCTGTGGGATTGCCGATCCAGCCGGGATCCTGCCGGGATCGGGGCCGTGGGAGCGGGGATGAGCAGCGCCCACCCCCAGCCGAGCTCTGGAGAGATTTGGGGCAGAGGAGGCTGCGTGGTTGGAGAGATTTGGGAATGGGAGAGGTTCCGTGGTTGGAGAGATTTGGGAACAGAGGAGGCTGCGTGGTTGGAGAGATTTGGGAACAGCAGAGGCTCCGTGGTTGGAGAGATTTGGGAACAGAGGAGGCTGCGTGGTTGGAGAGATTTGGGAACAGCAGAGGCTCCGTGGTTGGAGAGATTTGGGAACAGCAGAGGTTCTGTGGTTGGAGAGATTTGGGAACGGGAGAGGTTCCGTGGCTGGAGAGATTTGGGAACGGGAGAGGTTCCGTGGCTGGAGAGATTTGGGAACAGCAGAGGTTCCGTGGCTGGAGAGATTTGGGAACAGCAGAGGTTCCGTGGCTGGAGAGATTTGGGAACAGCAGAGGATCCTCCAGGAAGAACAGAACTCCTTCTCACCTTCACCAGTGTCTGGAGAAACCCACCCTGGCTCCCAGTGCCACCAGTTTGCCCTGGGACAGCCACTGGGACCCCCTTGGGAAGCTCAGGAGCCCCAAGGAATGCTCTGAGATCCCCCAAGAGCATCTGCCGTGGGATTGGGATTGGGATTGGGATTGGTTTGATCCTGACTTTATGTCTAGGGAAGACAAGATGTCCCCAACATCGCAGAGTTGGGGACAGTGATTGCCGTGTCCCCTCCCCGGAGCTGTGCTGGTGACACGTCTGCTGTCCCCTACACCCGCTCCCTAAGTGCCTTTCCCTGTATCCGTGTCTGTCCCATAAATATTTGATCCCAGACAAATGGGAACGGTCCCTGCGCCGCCTCCGCGCGTGACAGAGCCGGGGGGGACGGTGACACCCCGGGGGCTCTGGAGAGCCTCGGACACGAAACCTCATTCCTGAGGAGAAGGATCAGGGTCGGGGGGGGGGGGAAATTCCTGCCATGGCCTCTGCATTCCTGGATTTGGGATGGAGGGATCAGGTTTGGGATGGAGGGATCAGGTTTGGGATGGCAGGACCAGGTTTGGAATGGCAGGATTGGGTTTGGGATGGCAGGATGAGGTTTGGGATGGTGGGACCAGGTTTGGGATGGTGGGATCAGGTTTGGGATGGTGGGACCAGGTTTGGAATGGCAGGATTGGGTTTGGGATGGTGGGACCAGGTTTGGGATGGTGGGATCAGGTTTGGGATGGTAGGACCAAGTTTGGGATGGAGGGATGAGGTTTGGGATGCTGGGATCAGGTTTGGGATGACAAGCTCATGTTTGGGATGGCAGGAACAGGTTTGGGATGGTGGGATTGGGTTTGGGATGGTGGAACGAGGTTTGAGATGGAAGGAGCAGGTTTGGGATGGCAGGATGGGGTTTGGGATGGAGGGCTCAGGTTTGGGATGGCAGGATGGGGTTTGGAATGGCGGAATGAGGTTTGGGGTGGCAGATTCAGGTTTGGGATGGCAGGATGGGGTTTGGGATGGTGGGAGCAGGTTTGGGATGGTGACATCAGGTTTGGGATGGCGGGACCAAGTTTGGGATGGAGGGATGAGCTTTGGGATGGCAAGATCGGGTCTGGGGTGGCGGGAGCAGGTTTGGGATGGCGGGCTCAGGTTTAGGATGGCAGGATTGGATTTGGGATGGCGAGATCAGGTTTGGGATGGAGGGCTTAGACTTGGAATGGTGGGATCGGGTTTGGGGTGGTGGGATTGGGTTTGGGATGGTGGGATCAGGTTTGGGATGGTGGGGTCAGGTTCAGGATGGTGGGATCGGGTTTCCTCCCACAGCTGGTTCTGGTTCCCCCGGCATGGGAGCCGTGGAGGGGACAGAGGGGGGACAGCAAGGGACACGGACAGGGAGTGATTGTCTGGTGGGGTCAGGGGACACCTCAGCCAGTGCCACCCCCTGGGGACATCCTCACCCATCCGCAGGCTCTGCATCCCAGGCTCCAGGAGCATCGCCATGGCCTCGCTGCCCGCCTGGAAAAGGAAGGGACAAAATCCATCCCTGTGTCCCCTCGGTGGCATCGGGTGGCCTCAGTGTCCCCTCAGTGTCCCCTCAGCCTTGAGCCCCCCAAAAGCCACACCAGGCATGAGGCTGGGATCTGTAGGGTTGGCAGGAGGGGACCCCAAACCCCAGCTCACAATGGGGTGTGGCTGTCCCAGTTTGGGGCACATGCGATTGTCACCATCCGGGGTGTCCCCAGCTGTCACAGCCACTGTGGGGACAGGGACCTGAGTTCCTGTCACCGAGCAGGTCAGACAGATGTGCAGGATACAGATGTGCAGGGTGGAAATCGCTGTTCCTGAACATTTTTATCCTCAACCAAACCCCCTTTTTTGGGGGAGGGCTCGTTTAGGAAAAATCCCAATTTATTTTCTATTGGAATCACGGTGTCCAAAGGGATCCTGGGCTCTTCCCAGGGATTACAACCCAGCCTGGACCAGCTCCAAATCCCCTTCCAGGGATAACACCCCAGCTCCTGGCTGCCTTCCCGAGGCCACAGCCTCCCACCAGCCCCGAGCCCCCCGTCCCGCACCGGCCGCTCTCATCCCACAAATCCAGAGCTTCGGGATAGGGCTGAGCTCATCGGGAGAGGCCTCACCACCGGCCAAACCCACCCACGAGCTGCCGGCCCCACAGCCTCCCCTCTTCCCAAAAAATCCCCACAGCCTCCCCTCTTCCCAAAAATCACCAATGTCCCCATGGCCTCCCCTCTTCCCAAAAAATCCCCATGGCCCCACAGCCTCCCCTCTTCCCAAGAAGTCCCCTCGGGTGGGGAGGTTTTCCCTGGAATGGGGATCCAGCCCAGGCCACCCCGGAGCTGTGGGCAGGGAAGGCCGTGCTGGTGGCCCTGGGGTGTCACACGGGGGCGTCCTGGGGGTGGTCCGGGGGGTTTTCCGTCAAAATCCACCAAAATGGGGCTTTCCAGAGGTTTTCCTGCAGGAAATCACCCCCCATCTCTGGGATTTGTGCCCTTTCCCAGCTGCTGGGGCTCAGGTTGTGGGTTTGGATGAGCAGGGATGTCCCCAATGTCCCCAACCCCACAGCCTGAGCTCCCCGAGAGGGACACGCCAGCCCTTGGTGGCTCCGTGGCTTTGTCCCCTGTCCCTCCATGGCCACGGGGGGTCCAGGGGGTCACTGTGGGGTCTGTGCTGACCCTCAGGCTCCAAATGGCCAAAATCCTCCTTGTCCAGGGCGGCAGGGGGTGGCAGCAGCCCCCTTTGTCCCCAAGGTGCCATTCCCAAAATCCTCCTTGTCCAGGGTGGCAGCAGCCCCCTTTGTCCCCGAGGTGCCATTCCCCTCCCAGGCCAGGAGGGTGGGTGGCCCCAAGCCCCCGAGTGTCCCCCAGCGACCGCGCTGTTGTCACCCAGGGGACGCAGGACAAAGCCCCCGACCCCGGGGGTCCCTCCCGGGGCAGGTCCCGGTGCCTCCCGGGCTCCCTCCGGCCGCAGCAGCGATTTTGAGGATTTTCCACCATTTCCGCCTCTGCGGGGGCTCACGGAAACGGGGAAAGGAAACAAAGTTTGGGACGGGATCAGGGTGGAGCAGCCAGGAGCGGCACCGGGGTCGAGAGCGGCGTGGGGACACCGGCTTGGCTGGGCATGGTGACCCCACAAACTCGGGGTGGTCCCATAAACTCGGGGTGTCCCAAAACTCGGGGTGACCCCAAAACTTGGTGTGTCCCATAAACTCGGGGTAACCCCAAAACTCGGGGTGACCCCAAAACTTGGTGTGTCCCACAAACTCGGGGTGATCCCATAAACTCGGGATGTCCCCGCAGCTCGGGGTGATCCCACAAACTCGGGGTGTCCCCACAACTCGGGGTGTCCCCACAACTGGGGTGTCCCCATAAACTCAGGGTGACCCCATAAACTCGGGATGACCCCACAAACTCGGGGTGACCCCACGGAAGACCTGGGAGGCTCAGGGCAGCTGTGGGGCTCCAATCCAGATGTGCTGGGACAGAAGGAGCTGTTTGTCCCCACATCCCCGCTGTGCCAGCGCTGAGCATGGCTGTGGGGCTGGGGACACCCCAAACCCTCCCGAGGAGCTGTTGGGGTGCCCTGGAGCCCTTCCCTGTCCCCTCGGCCATGGCTGGGACACGGGAGCCACCCAGGGGTGTCCCCTGCACGGTGCTGGCACTGTGTGCTGCTGTCCCTGTGGTGTCCCCGATGGTCACAGCGGTGTCCCCAATGGTCCCAGCGGTGTCCCCGATGGTCACAGCGGTGTCCCCCCGGACAGGACACACGGGGACAGTGTCCGAGCGTCCATCCCCGCTCCCCCCCGTGCCCACGCCCCCCCTATTCCCACTGGGAAGAGGCCGCGGAGTCCTGGCACCCCACGGTGTCCCCAAACCGGGCAGCAACCCCAGGGCCGGTGCCACCTTCACCTCGGCCAGGGGACAGGGCTGTCCCCCATGTCCCCACGCCGGTTTCCGCCACCCCCGCTGGCCACTCACCGCTGTGGGGGGGGACACAGGTTGGGGACCCCCCTCTTTGTCACCCGGGCCGTGTCCCCCGGGCTGGTGGCTCTGTCCCCGCGGCTCTGTCCCCGTCCTGCCCGCGGCTCTGTCCCCGCGGCTCTGTCCCCGCCGGGGCCCCGCGCAGCCCCCCGCGCTCCGGCTTCCTCCCACTCCCTGTCCCGGCCCAGGCAGCGCCTCAAATTGCAATTCCAGCTGCAGATGTGGGAGCGGGAGCGGCGGGAGGAGGAGGAGGAGGAGGAGGAGGAGGCAGGGCCAGCTCCAGTCCCGCCGGCAGCGGAACCTCCGCTCCCCGCCCGGCCACGGCCACCGAGGGGGGACAAGGGTCCCAAACAGGACGCGCCACCCCCAGACCCCCCCCGTGTCCCCCCGAATTTTGTAAATCGCTCTGCCGGGTTTGTCACCGCGCGTGTCCCGGGTGACATCGGCTCTGTCCCCACATCCAGCCCCATCCCGGCTCCAGAGCTCGGGGTTATCCCGGGGTTCTCCTCCCCGCGGTCGTTCCCATTCCCAAAGGGGGATCCTGGATCCCGGAAGCAGAGCCGGGGGGCCCCGGGAGTGGGATCTGATCTGGGGATCCCAGATTTGGGATCAGAGGAGGGAGATCCCGAGGGTGGGAGCAGAGCCAGGGGATCCCAGATTTGGGATCCAAATTTGGGATCAGAGCTGGGAGATCCCGAGGGTGGGAGCAGAGCCAGGGAATCTCAGATTTGGGATCCAGATTTGGGATCCAAATTTGGGATCAGAGCTGGGAGATCCCGAGGGTGGGAGCAGAGCCAGGGAATCTCAGATTTTGGATCCAGAATTGGGATCCAGATTTGGGATCAGAGCTGGGAGATCCCAAGGGTGGGAGCAGAGCCAGGGAATCTCAGATTTGGGATCCAGATTTGGGATGCAGATTTGGGATCAGAGCTGGGAGATCCCAAGCGTGGGAGCAGAGCCGGGGGATCCCAGATTTGGGGTCCAGATTTGGGATCAGAACTGTGAGACCCCAAGGGAAGGAGGCACACAAAGGGTCTGTCCTGTCATTCCCAAAAATCTCCACAATGGGAAGAATCCACCCGTGGGAGCCTCAGAAGCACGGGCAGAACATTGGGATTGTTCCCATAACTGAGATATTTGGGATCACCGAGTTGAGGTAGTTGGGAGTGGTGGGATAATTGGGATGGTTGAGATAATTGGGATCATTTGGAGCATTGGGGTCACTGAGATTGTTGGGATCGCTGAGATAATTTGGATTGTTTAAATTATTAGGATTGCTGAGATAATTGGGGTCGCTGGGATCACTGACAACACTGAGATCGGTGAGACCGTTTGGGACGTTGGGAAAATTGGGATAATTTGGATCACTGAGATTGTTGGGATCATTTGGGGTCACTGAGATCATTGGGGATTTGGGATCATTGAGGGCTGGGAACATTCTGTTTGTTGGGATCACCGGGACCACCAGGATCACCGGGATCATTGGGGGTTTGGGATCATCAAGGGCTGGGATCATTTTGTTTGTTGGGATCACCGGGTCCATTGGGATCATTGGGATCAAGCCCCTGGGACCATTGGGGATTTGGGATCATTGAGGGCTGGGATAATTTTGTTCGTTGGGATCATTGGGATCAAGCCCCTGGGATCGGTAGGGGTTTGGGATCATTGAGAGCTGGGATAATTTTGTTTGTTGGGATCACCGGGACCATTGGGATCATTGGGATCGAGCCCCTGGGATCACTGGGATCAAGCCCCTGGGATCACTGGGATCAAGGCCAGGAAGGCCCTGGCCGGGAATGCGGTGGCCTGGAGCAGGACGTGCCAGCTGTGACCACGGGGGTGGCACCGGTGGGGGACACTGGGGAGGGGACAAAGTGTCACCTCCGGAGCCAGGGCACCTCCAAGCCCCTAAAGGGACCGGTGGGGATGTTGGAGTGGCGTTTCGGATCATCCTGGGGCTCTACTGGGATTTTTGGGGGTCCAGCCCCCCCAGCCCTGCCTGGCACCGCTGCCCCGGAGCCGGGGAAGGTTCTGGAGGGGGGGGACAGGGACAAGGGCGGGGGCTCCGCCCGTGTTTGCGTCCCTGGCGCCCCGACAGGGATGAGGTAGCGCTTTCCGGGAATTGAGGCCCGGCCCATGGAAATGCGGCGGGGACAGGAAACGCGGGATGGGGACGGAGAACCACGGCTGGAAGCGAGGCCGGAGCCCAGCCCGGACCCACAGCAGTGGGGACAGCGATGTCCCCGACCAGGACATGGGGGTGGCATCACGTCCCCAACCGGGGAGCTGGGGACGGGGACGCGGGCAGCCCCTCCCCTGCTTCCCGGTTTGCTCCCAGTTTGCTCCTTCCCAGCTTTTCTGGGGGCAAACTGGGCATTCCTGGGGCGGGACCTGCAGCGGGTTGAGGGGAATCTTCATCATCATTGTCATCATCACCTTCATCATCATCATCATCATCATCTTCACCATCATCATCGTCGTCGTCAGCCTCGCCATCAG